TTTTCCCCCTTTCCTTTCTTTCTGGTTGTTGCAACCAGATGCTGGAGTCCAGGAGCCAGACGTCACCGTCGACGACGACCCCTACTACACTGGAGGTGCCTACTACTACGTGCTGCCCGCTGATGACGACCAGGAGTAGTTAGGAGGATCCCAGGCAGGAGGCCTGTGCCTCTTTCGATCTGTATCCCAGTTTGTGCTAGCCTTCTTAAGGCAAACTTGTTTAACTTATGTCTGTACTCAGATATTGTTGCTTCCGCTGACTCGTCCATGATCGAGCACTTGTATTCGAGCCCTCGAGGCCCCTGGCTTGTATTATGATGCTTGTATGACTTATTTTATCTGTAGAGTTGTGTTGTGATATCTTCCCGTGAGTCCCTGATCTTGATCGTACACATTTGCGTGCATGATTAGTGTACGATTAAATCGGGGGCGTCACATAGAGGCCAGCATGCGATATTGACGGGGATGTATCTCGTGTCCCGTAGCTCCTCGATCACGCCCTCAGTGACAAAGGAGCCAGCCTAGTGTCCCTTCAAGGTGGCGTCGGCCATTGTCGGAAGTGGGAGTTGTGTGCGCTGGAGGAGACAGATGAATTTGAGGCTGGATCTGGGCGCTGGAGCTCAGGAGGCTGTGTGCACAGGCGACAAAATGGGAGCATAGGAAATGGTTACTGCTCCCTTTTACTGTTATAGCCTGCGAAAGGCCAAGATTCCACTTTTGCCGCGCTGCTAAAATCACCATGTCCCAACACGAGATGCCATTATGCGCGTGGGGTGAAACAAAATCTTGATGATATCCCTTAAAATACGGGGCACGATCCCTGCTTTCATGAGACGTGCCACTGGAAAACTGCCTCGGGCCGCAACTCGAGCAACAGTAACTGACCCACCTAGTTATAGGTGGTGGCGCTTCGGAAAAGTTGTTAGGCTGTAGGCACTGTTCACACCTATGCGGCTGGCCTTTGAAGCTAAGTTACATCGCGTCTTCGAATGCTAATAACTTTGATTAAACCATGGTTGAAGGGCAGATTCCTTTAAGAACATACCCGATTAAAGCTTTTAAGGGAAAGATCCCGGATGATAGAAAGAATCATCTAAGAGGAGAACTCGCATGTCAAGCCGAAGACTCCAAAGCCGAAGTCATATGTATGAAGAAGATTGTAGTCCTCGGTGTCGAAGACTAGTTCAGGCGTTACTAACGGTGTCCTGGACTAGGGGTACCAACTTAGTTGGCCCATAGTCCATGGGCTGGGCTTGCGGCCCACCGTTCTCATAAGGAAGGACTCCGGGAGCCTCGCACCTCGACGTGATCAAGATGGATTCTGCCGAAGACTTGACGTGTACTCCAAGGACAACATCTGCCGCCGACATCTGTATCCGTAGGTGGGGCAATCGACCATGTGTAACCCTAGGTACCCCCAGCGTCTATATAAACTGAGGGGTCTAGTATATAGAGACCACAATCACAATTATAACCACCTAGCATTAGGGTTAGAACACAACTTACGATCTCGAGGTAGATCAAGCTTGTACTCGATACATCATCATCAATACAATCAAAGCAGGACGTAGGGTATTACCTCTTTGAGAGGGCCCAAACCTGGGTAAATACCGTCCCCTTTGTCTCCTGTTACCCATAGATTCAAGATCCATAGCTCTGGACCCCCAAACCCGAGGTCTGCCGGTTTTAGTATCGACAAGTAGGTGCGTCGGTGGGACCGAGTTTGATATTTAGTGTTTTGACGGAATGGAATGTGGGAAAGTGGCTGAGGGTTTTGGAGCAATATCTTCAAGCACTTGAGCAACTAAGTCATGATCAAAAACTCATTCCCTTTTAATAGTATTGGCTTTCCTATGAACTCAATGTGATCTTGGATCACTTAACCAAAAATAAAGAGTCTTGGAGCTTTTGCCAATATGTTTCCATAGCATTTTGATGGGTCCACATCCACATGTCCTTGCCATGCCAACACTGAACTTTTCCTGAAATCTATCTTTGAGTAGGCATTAGTCAATGACATATATGTTGTTATTATTAATTACCAAAACCACCCGGAGATTAGTTGCACTTTCAAAAGTCAACACCCTTCTTCTCGCCGCCTAGTTCTGCTCACCATCGGTGCTATGGTTCTCGTCGTCGTCAGTGAACGTATAGACCACCTCCCGATTCACCACCATCTGCTGGGTAGATACCCGGCGCCCACAACCCTCATCGGCCAATCCTTCGGCAGATCGACGTCGGTGAGCACCGCACTGCCGAACCATTCGTCATTCTCTCTTCATCTCTTTTAGTGTGAGACGTGTTGGCATGGATATTTATTTTCCAAGTCAACCCTGCAAGTGCTAGGTTTTCTGTCAAAAACAGGGTTAAACGAGAATCAGTGCGATCTGTTACGCCCGCACCAAACTCAAAAAATACCGGCACCAATTCTTTAACCTACCCCCAAATGTATTATCTTGCAATTAACTGCATCGTAACTACATCTCAGCATCATTTGTGAAGAGCATGAAGAAAATCCGAGATATTTTGAGACGATTTACTATGTTTGTATTTGTGCCCTAACTCACCCTAAGCTACTACTTTTCCCTTTTTTTTTCTCCTTTGTTTTGGTGGTGTGGCCGCCTTTTGTATTAGTGTTGGCCTCCTCCTCCCTGCTCTCTCTTCCTTGTACCTGAAGCGGAGGCAAATTGAGACGAGACGAAACCCTCCTCCCCTTCCCTCCCCACTCCAATCTCCATGGCTCAAGACGAGGTCCCGGAGTCCTCTTCCCCCTCTTCGGCGGCGGCTGGCCGCCTGAACGCCGCCGCGCCGGAGTTCACCCCCCGATCCGCCGCCCCGCACCAAGCCCATCCCCATCGCCGCGGGCCCCACCATCACCACCACCACCACCACCAGCCGCATCACCAGCACCAGCACCAGTACCGCCACCAGCACCACCACCAGGGAGAGGATGAGGGGGATGCCGCGGCGGTGGTGGATAACGCTCAGCTCGTCCTGCCCGAGGAGCTCGCTCGCCGGGTCGTCAAGCAGGTAGACTCTTTTCTTTTTTCAGTCGATTGCTGCGATATCCACTGCGTTGCTACGAAACCTAAAAAAAGTGTTCCCTTTGGCCAAAAAAAGAATGAGGTTTAGATGGGGGTTTTGTTGAGACGTGGAGATGGCCTCTGATTTGATTATTCGCTTGCTGCTCCATAACTTCATCACACATCGACCATAGTACCATGCGTTGGCAAATTTAGTTTTTTGGTGTTCAAATATGTTGGCAATAGAGATGACCATGGGACGTCAGGGCATGGCTTTCTTGAAAATTTGTATACGGTTAAGCGCATCCTCTCATCATTTATCTGATGTGTTCTCCCAGTGTTATGCTTCTGAACTATAACATGGATAACCAATCTGGCTTTACAGATTTGTGGTAGTGAGATTGTACTCTGGTGTAGTATGCATTAATAAGTACTAAACGATGGACCTGAGAGAGGTGGGTGGGGTTAGATATAAGATGATATCTGTTGAGCAATGGTATTTTTGTAAGCGGCAACTCATAGATCTGCAACTTTTTTTCCCGGGAGAATACTAGATATTCTGGATAAAAATGGCACGAATTGCCTTGTTATGTGGTATTTTGGGGTTAGGGTTAAGTGACAGGAGTGGAGCGGCATGGATATAAGAGAGATAAATAAGATTTGCGTGTATGTCAAGTCATCAATATTTGGCAGATATGTGATCCTCCATTCAGTTTATCAGTTACCGATTGGTTAGAGTCGTAGAGAAAATACGACAAATTTATACAATGTTATCTTTCTGTAGTATTGCAACCGCTGTATTGCATGCGTCATAGGCAGTATGTTTCACCTTTTGAGGGTAATATGGTTGAATAGGGAAAGCATGTAACTCCTTCAATTTTGTGGTGTTCCCTACTTTTTATGTGGGAGCAAATAAAATAATCATCATAATATAATACACAAGAAAAAAATGGTCTTTTGTTTTTCGTTATTATAATCTGCACCCTTTCTGTTTTTATTCGATACATTTTCTCAGATAGTTGAAATTGACTCTGTGTACTAGCTTTACCTTTTTACTACTTCCTTTTTAGTTATTTATTAATATAATTAAACTTTCATCAGTTGCTTGATATGCATCTTTATAACTGTGTATCCATTGGATACTGTAATGGTTTTGGAAAAGTGACAGGTGGAATTTTACTTCAGTGATGTCAATCTAGCTACAACTGACCATCTGATGAAGTATATTACTAAAGATCCAGATGGATTTGGTGAGTTTAACCTGTTAAATTTGAATAAAGCTCTTGATCATTCTGTTTACTCTCATGTATGTTTCTTTCATCTGACGTTTGCTGGCCAAAATCAATTAAAATTTAGCAATAGAAGTAGGCACAAATATGATGATAAAAATCTTACAAAGTGCTGATATAGCCATAATTTTCTTCTTGGGTATTTTCTGTTATACTAATAAGTTAAGTAATAAGTTGTGCTCAGTTTGTGGTACTACCTCTGGCAGGTAATCTTCTACTATATGTAAGCTACAGATTATTGACACATTCGAAAATGGAAAAAATGTTGCTTTGACACTTTGAAATACGAAATGTGCTTGCATTATTGATGCTACGCATCATTAATTCATTACGGGGAGCTGCATACCATTCTTTGTGTGCTTTTTTCCATTTGGGTTTTATTTTGCCGGATAACAGTTGATACTTCTCCAATATCAGCGAGCAGTTTACAAAAAAAATCGAAACTGTTTTCACTATTTTCTTTTGTCTTAACAGTGCCGATGACAGTGGTTGCATCCTTCAGGAAGATTCGAGAGTTAATTGATAGATCCTTGTTGCCTGGTGCATTACGTACATCAACAGAGCTGGTAAGTATCTCAACCAAATCGTCATATTTACCTGTTTACACTTTTCTTTTGGATATGCATATTCTTTCCGCTATTGACAGCGCAAGTAATTTGCTTGCATATACTTTATATTGCTGCTTAATCAAGATATGTGCTAGTTAGATCTGGGAGGTGACTGCCTCAGCTCATCCATGCAGTGATAAAGCAAAAAAAAGTGTCTAGGAACCTGTACCATCCTACTGAAAGAGCTATCCTGTGATATCATGCATCCGCACTCTTGTTCAATTTTCCCCTGATCCAAACACAAGAAATGATAGTCTGTGTGGTTCTTTACTTTCTTTATCATTTATAGGTAGTTTCAGATGACGGGAAGATGGTTAGGCGACGAGTGCCCTTCTCTGATGTGGATGCTGAAGAAGTTCAGGTTAGCATATAATCCGTGGAATCTTCTATTTGCTATGTCATGCTTCTGAAACTTACCTATTTCTGTACTCAGTCTCGAATTATTGTTGCTGAAAAATTACCTGAGGATCATCGCTATCAGAATCTTATGAGGATTTTCTCAACTGTTGGGAGGTATGGATGTCTGTTACCATGATTAACTATGGGTGCAATGTTGAAGACTAATATTATCTATATTGCAGTGTGAAATCAATACGTACTTGCTATCCACAAGGGATCGATATTTCTGCCGGCAAATCATCAAGGATTGAGATGCTTTTTGCTAATAAGGTCTGTATATGTGTCAGCGCTGTCTAGGGTTCGGGTATTACAATATGATCTATCTACCTCTATATGAATACTAAATGTTGATGAGTCATATCATAGCTTCTTCCAAAGCAATGTATCTGTTGTTCGTAAGATATTTTCACACCTGTTTGTGCCAATGTTGTTTCTATTTTGCTGTGCTTGCAGCTGCATGCTTTTGTGGAGTATGGAACTGTTGAAGATGCTGAAAAGGCGGTATGTCATCTTGACTGCTATCCGTCCGTCCTTTGGCACTTGTCTAGCATATAAAAGAAGAATCTTTTCTGTTTACAGGTTGCCGAGTTTAGTGGCGGCAGAAACTGGAGGGATGGGCCTAGAGTTCGTTCGCTGCTTGGTTGCCTGGTACCTTAATGAATCCTGACCAATTCAATGTCTTTTTTTATTGGTCATTTCATGTTTTATGCAGAATTGGAAGTAATCATGGATTGATTGTGAGCATGCACACAAAACTGTCCTATGTGTTCCTCGTCTGTCTTAGTATTCTGGCTAGATCTATTTGTCATTAACATCTGGAATATCGGTTATCCACTTGCATCATGCTTGGTGTAGCTATTATATTTGACTGATGAGTGTAAGCCTGCTTAGTGAAGATTACGTTTAAAGGACAGACTGTTCCCACAAGACTTGTTTAATATCACTGTTATATCAAATGCTTCATTGTAGAAGATGCTTTTCTTTTTCACATTTGATTTTGTTACTGGCCACTAGAAACATGGGATTGGTCAAGGAAGAAAAGGTGGAGATGAGGAGGCTGCGTATGAAGATGATCCTGAAGAGTATGAAGCAGAAGATGCTGCTCAGGTATCTATCATGTACTACAGCATACTGATGCATCAGAAACTTTAAGAATGGATTGTCTAATGGGGTGTTTCTTATATAGGGTGAGGATGGTTTCTATGACAAAGCTGGAATGAGGCAAGGGAGGGGCCGAGGACGTGGGGGAAGAGGCCGTGGCCGGGGCCAGTACCATGGCCAGAGTCGGGACGGCGGGCATCCAATCGGCACTCCTCCATCAAATCACAGTGCTGAGCATCCGGTGGTGTCCAAGCCGCCTCCTGGTCCGCGTATGCCGGACGGCACAAAAGGATTTGCCATGGGGCGAGGGAAGCCCCAGGTCAGCCCCGCAGTGCTGTCTGATGCTTAGTGGTACCCTGTTGCCCTGTTGTCGGGAGGGGTTGGCAGAACGGCGCTTATATGATGACCCATTTTGATGTGATCCCATGAAGAGGAAGGATAGTAATACCCTGATACATGCGTCAGTATACTGCATTGCTGCTGGTCCATGGACCTGTCTTTTGGTCTCTGAATTTCCTAGTTGAAAGTACAAATTCATACTTGACTCGACAAATCAACAGAAAGAAGTCTTCAGTGGGAGGAGCAAATTTTTATAGTTGTTCGAATCGTCGCTTTTGCAAACATATATACTACATGTCAACTGATAGGTTTGTTCTTCACTGGTCTGCAAACTTTGGTCTCCGCTCGTTCTTGCCATCTGTTCTTCGCATTCCCTTTGCTGGTGCGGTCTTGCTGGTGCTGGCACGGCCACTGCTGTTGCAAACAGGCTCGCTGCCGGTGCCGGCCACAGCCTTGCCCTTGGCTGGTAAAGCATTCTTCCTGGCATCTACCTGCAGCTCCTTGGAAGCTCTTGCCGCAGAAGATGGTGGCCTCCTCGCCTTCGCGCTCTCGACTTTGGTGTCCACGCCCAATGGTGGAGCTGTCGCCACTGCCGTTGCTGATGCCCTGCGCCGTGCGAAAATAGACCCAGTCGTGAGCAGATTCTTGGGCGCCGTGTAAGGGGCTTCTCCTGGCGTCTCCACCGTGTTGGTTGTACTTGCACTGCTGCTGCTGCTGTCCTGGCTTGCATTTGCGTAGTACGTGTGCGAGTGTTCCTTGCCTGAGTTGCTGCTTGTGCCAGTATTGGCTTTGGCATCTGGTTTCTGCTGCCTGTTGGGCAGAGTAGCGTAAGCTGAAGCTGGTCTCCTGTCGGTCGTGCAAGGCTGGCTCTTGGCAGAGTTGCTTGACGAAGAACCTGCCGGAGTCTTGGCTGATGTTTTGGTCGCCTCAGTCTTGCCAATGAACTGCCCTAGCCAAGATTTCGAAAAATCGTTCAACTCCAAACCCAGTTTGCATAGGATGATGAATAAATGTGCAAAACAAAGGAGGTTTAGCGATTAGCATACCCTTGAAGCTGAAGGTTTGACAGGTTGCGTGATCGGGATGTGTGTCACCTTAGGGGCAACCACCGTTTCGGAGGAGCTGGCTTCCATCTTGAGGGAAGGAAACATTGGTGCAACCGGAGGGGTCTTGGGCCTGAAATCACATGTACTCCCTCTAATGTAAGAACCAATTCTAGCAGTGCTAGGGCCAAATGAACCTACTACCAGTTGTCTCAAAAAAAAAAAAAATGAACCTACCAGTCATAGTCGGGCTTCTCGATGATCGGCATGAGGAGATCTCTCTTCCCCGAGGGAGGCTTGGACATGTGACCACCTAGTTAGCACACAGACGATGCAGTGAGCTTTACTCAGAAATCTAAGTAGCATATGGTTTTCAAGGAAAATCGTTCCTGGTGACCAGGTGAAATGGCCATGACCCATGAAGATGGAAATATTGGTTCGGTGCACGTATAAGTTAACGTACGTATGGGATTCTTGTTTGTTCCAAAAAAAAAAACAACGTTAAGTGCAAGGACGAGAGAGAGAGATAGATGTCACCTTGGATGGCGTCGAACTCCACGGAGTAGATCGGCTCCAGGAGGTTCACATCCGTATCTTCCTCATGCTTGTACAGCTCCCGGAAGAAAACTATGCTCTCGTCCTTGTCCTTCTGAACCGCGGACGGGGCCTTCTTGCTCTTGCCCATCCCCGCGATCCTCCTCATGCGGTTCATCTTCTTCAAGGAACAAAGCTATGCTTGCTTGTTGTTGCGAGGACCGGAAAGATGAGAGGTATCAGGTATGGGGATTTTGACATTGTAGCCTTGTAGGGTTGCATCATGAATACTGGCCGCAAGACTTCCAAATCTGCCGGCGATTCTAAAGCGACCGCTGGAATTGTTTGGAGACAGGGCATGTTAATATTGTTAAACTACTAGTTGGTGAAAGGGATAGGGTCGATGCAACCAAATGGTGGGATGATTGATTGATTCAACAGGCATAAGCATTGGCATCGTTTGTTTCTTCGGTTGTGCTCTAGTGTTACAGTCCTTTTTCTTGTCCTCCCCTTGTGCTCCTCATTTCTAGTTTTATTATGGTTCTCTTCTCATATGTTTATACTTTTCATGATATTCATGAGTTTTAAGTTTAGTTAGGGTATATCAAACATGAATCCCACACCCTATGATGCTTTTGGATATGTGGATTTTTTTTGTCAGGATGTACTAATGCAATGGAGCATCCCCCGCTCCGCTAGGTTTCCCTCCCCCGCCGTCGCCGGCCGCCGGGCGCGCGGCTCCCGGCCCGCCCCGCTCCCCTCCCCCTCCCCCTCTCTCCTCCCCTCCCGCGGCGCGCCCGCGCGCGCCCGGGGGGCCCCTGTGGCCGCGGCTCTCGGCCCCGCCTCCCTCCCCTCCCCCCGCCGTCACCGGCGAGCTCCGTCGGGCAAAAGCCCGGGGGGGCGCGGTGGCGGCGGGGCCTTCCTTCCCTGTATGCTTGTGGGCGCCGACGTGGGTAGGGCAGCGGTTGGGCGTGGCCGCTGCTCCGACCGGGGGGCGGCGTGGGTAGGTCTCGGTGGTGGCCTACCGGGGTCGTGGCGGCTTCACGGTGGCTCGATGGATCTGCCCGCGGCAACGGCCGGCTTCTCCGGCGTCGGTTTGTCTGCGTTCGGGCCGTCTCGACCTTTACCCCGTCTCCTCGTCGCCCGTCCGCTTCTCCCATCAAAGGGTTGGTCCTCTCCCAGTTGCGGTCCACCGCTCGTCTCGCGCCCGATGCCGCAGGACAGAGCTCGTCTCGCGCATGATGCGGCAGGACCGAGCTCGTCTCGTGCACGGTGCAGCAGGACTGACCTCGTCCCCCTCTCGTTGCTGCAGGACCGAGCTCGTCTCGCACTTGGGGCAGTAGGATGGGTCGGTGGATGCCAGTTCTGGATGACCTATTGGGTCTCGACGCTGGGGGTGCCCAGGGGCGCGAAAGGTGGGACCTTTCCGCTCGTCTCTTTTGTTGGGGTGCGGCAGGTCTCGGGTGAGGTGGTGTCGAGGTCTTGGATGCTGGAGCGGCGGCCCTGGTGGTGGTTGCGTGGTGCTCTTGGGTAGAGCCTGTGCATTGGTGCTGCCTGGGCACCATGGTCGTGTGGGAGGCGTGGTTGCCGGGGTGTGGCGTTCGGTGGCAGTGAATGTTGGCCGAGGTGAAAACCTGCTCTATTTTCGGACGGACCGGCGGCGGCGAAGATCGTTTCCTTCTTGAAGGCGTCGTCGTGGCTCTCATTGCCCGTCATGCGGCTTCGGGGGGAACTCTGATCCTTGGATCGGGTGGTGACGGCGCTCCGGCGTCGTATCCTTCCTGAAGGCGCCGCCTTGGAGCGCATGGTTCGTCATATGTAGCTTCATCTCTTCGGGGCGGTAGTGCTAGGAGTGGTGTTGCTGCGCTCAGCACCTATGTATCATGTCTTGGATGTGTGTGTGTTGCGGTGGCGTGGCGTGTGGTTGTGCTGGATGCTTGTGGTTTGGTGCTTTATATATAAAGCAGGGTGAAAGCCTTTTTCGGTAATGCAATGGAGCTGATACAGCGAATGGTAGGGGATATTCATAGAAGTTTTACGTTTTTTTTCTAGGGTCAACACTGAGTGATTGGTTTCACTTTTCAATGTTCCAGCAAGTTTTCAATGTGTATTTTTTAATCGGCGTCTAACGGTCTAAATCTATCATGACTCCCGTGTCACTGCCGGTAGCGGCCCGGGAGAAAACCCTAGCCACCGCCAAACACCACCCCCACTCCCTCTAACCTCCCTTGCAGCCGCTGGAGGGCGCTAGCTGGTAAAGCCCACACAGCGCACGGTCCCTCCTCTGCATCTCACTGGGTGCACAAGCGGCGTAGGGGCGACTCCGCGAGGCGGCATCAGGCTCATGTGAAGGACAAGGGCTGCATAGTGGGGCAGAGGGTGATAGTTGCATATCTGCCGTTCTTGCCCAAATGGGCGTGTGATGGCGGCTACGGATTTGTGGCGGCGGTGGCTGGTGGCATGTTGGTTTGATCTAGGTCCTAGCGAGCCGGCAGTCGCGACATGTAGCGGTGGTGTGGTTGTCTTGACCAGCATGTCGTGCACAGATCCGCAGCGTCTGAAAAGGTCTGGAAGGTTCTAGAAGGTTCCTGACAGGTCAAGGCCACGCCACCTTTGGCCCAAGTTGGTTGGACCATAGAGTCCATGGGTGGTAAGGCACCTTCGAGAGGATTCCTCCAAGATGGGGACTACTAGAGTGCCCAATCCAGGGAGGACTCCCCCTCCTTAGGTCGGCCAACCCCTTGGGCCTCCACCTATAAATAGGTCATTGTTCAAGAAGGCGCTATTAGGCGCTTGCCTAGGCGCGCTTAAGCGCTGGGCGTTGGCATAACGCCTCGCTTTGGCCCTAGGCGCTCAAAAAAGCGGCCGGCGAGGTTCTCCGGCGAGGAATCATGTTTCTCAGGCGAGAAATCAATCTCCCATGCGAGGATTTGACCTCCCCTGTGAGGATTCATCCTTGCTGGTGAGGATTCAACCACTCCTGCGAGGGATCGAGCTTCTCCGGCGAGATATCGAGGGAGGGGTAGAGGAAGTGGGAGAGAGGCAGAAGGGAGAGAGGACGAGGGGAAGAGGCGGTGTGAGGAGGAAACCTAGCTTTCTGTGGACTGTGCACATACTAGAGGTTTAATAGGAGAATAGGAAGATGGGCATGTGGTTTAATGGGCTGGGCCAGCCCATCTAGCTTATTTCTTCAAGCTACAACACTAACGCCTAATTGCGCCTAATTTTGCCTAAGCTAGAAAAGCGCAAGTAGGTCGCCAGACGCATAATTAATGCCTAGCGATTTCTTGAACTTTGAAATAGGTGGGAGGGGGCGCACCAAAGGCACCACAAGCCCCACGGCTCCCCATCTCTACTTACCCCGTGCCCCGTTTCTCCTGTGTCTAGATTTGTTCTAGTTCAGAGCACTGCTAGGCTGCCCCTCTCTAGTTTTTTCGGTGGTTCTTCGTTTCGGACAGCAAAGCTCTACTGAACCACTACTTCCGTATGTGCTGATACCGTAGATACTAGGTCAGTGAACTAATTTGAAGAAGAAATTCTCACGGTTAGGAGGTTTAATCCTAGCTGTGAGAATCTGCATCTACACGCTTCACCAACTCTCCTCTCTGCTACGTTTTGTTGGTGAGCAATCTAATCTAGATCTAAATCTCACATGCATCTTCATAGTACATGATTTGTCGGCTCAGATTTATTTTTTCTACTATATTTCCCAACAAAGTACACGATCCTAAGAAGCACAATTTCAATCTTCAATTAGCAGCATTCATGCCAATGCTAAGCCAGTCTCAATAATCCGGATAGACTCAAAGAACTAATGATTGCCAACAATTAACATACTTGCTCATCATCATTAGGAGTCAAGCAGCTAGTGCCAAAATACGTATAGTTTGATAGTGTTATGATCGGCATAGGGGCTTAGCCCAATGGGTTATGACCCAAGTATCTTAATTAGGGGCTTAGCTCAATTATCTTATCGTATTAGGGTCGTTTGCTTAGGAGTCAAGTAAACCTCTCTATATAAGGAGAGGAGATGTATCAATCTAATCAAGAAAGAAGCAATCAATATTTGCTTGGCTTCTCTTAGGGAGCGGGGAGACCTAAACCCTAGCCGCCTCCTGCTTTCGCCGCCGTTGCTCCCGTCGCAAGGACGACGCCATGTCGCCGGCCGCCGCGCACCAACCCTCGCCCTTCCCCCTCCTTTCCGTACAACCTACGCCCTAGATCCGGTAAGGCCCTAACTCCTACCAATTTGGTATCCAGAGACTTGGGTCCGATCATGTCTTCGTCAACATCATCGCCACCGCTGACCGTCTTCATCTCCGCGCCGATGACATCCGCCCCGATGACCATCGCTGGGGCCTCCACGCTGTCGGGCCCGGTCACCACCGTGGGCTCTTCACCTTCCCCGGCCCCATCACTTCCGCACCTCCAACGACTGCCGTCTTCACGCCGGAACAGGTCACCAATACCTTGCGGGATCTCGTGACGGCCGTCCAGGGACTCCTTCTGAACCAGTACCAACCGTACATGGCCGGGTCGTACGCACCTTCGTCGGCTGCGCCGATCGCCGCCTACGGCCACCCCACGCTGCCATGGCCGTCCCAGGGCGCGCTTGCCTACAGCGGGCAGTCGCTGCTGCCGTTCCAGGCGGGCTCCCCCGCGCTGCCGTGGCCGTCCCAGGGCACGCCTGCCTACAGCGGGCAGCTGCTGCTATCGTTCCAGGCAGGCCCCCCACGCTGCCGTGGCCGGCCCAGGGCACGTCGGCCTGCACCGGGTTGCCGCTGCTGCCGTTCCAGGCAGGGCACCCTGGCGAGACCACTCCGGCCGCGGCTCCTCTATGGCATCTGCCGCCGCCTTTTCCCGCGGCAACCGACGCACCCGCCCACCCTCCACAGTCGACGCTGCAACCACCGGCACCACCTCTGCCCAGCTCAGGGGCGTCCTTGCCGGCCGGCCTTCCGATACATCAGGTCCGGTTTCCGGCCTCCCCGTCGCCACTACCAGCTTGGGCGGCTGGGTCTTCGCCATCGCCGGTCTACACCACGGCTCCGGAGCAGTCGACCCCGTTTCCGCAGTTCGGTGGGCCATCCAGCTCCGCGGGTCCTAACCTGGAGTACTCCGACCAGGCGCCACCCGCCTCGCTGCTCCGCACCTCCGAGCCAGCTCGACACGACGCTCTGACCCAGACACCGCCGCGGTTCGCCAAGATTGACTTCGCCATCTATGTCGGCACGGAGGACCCCCTCAACTGGCTCAACCAGTGCGACCAGTTCTTTCGCGTGCAGCGTACCCTCGCCTCGGAGCGCACCTGGCTCGCCTCTTACCACCTCCGCGGCGCGGCACAGACCTGGTACTACGCCCTCGAGCAGGACGAGGGCAGGATGCCCCTTTGAGAGTGCTTCCGCGAGCTCTGCCTCCTTCGTTTTGGGCCCCCGATCCACGGGAGCCACCTGGCGGAGCTAGGCCGCCTTCCCTTCACCTCCACGGTTCAGGACTTCGCCGACCGTTTCCAGGCCCTGGCATGCCACGCGTCGGGCGTGACGGCGCAGCAGTGGGCCGACCTCTTTGTCGGTGGACTTCCGGATCACATCCGCGTGGACGTGGAGCTTCGGGGACCCCAGGATATCCAGACGGCCATGTACTACGCCCGCGCGTTCGAGCGCCGTGCGGTGTCCGTCCAACAGGAGTCGCCGTCCCGGGCCACTAGGTCGCTACCCTGGCCAGATCCCGCTCAGGGTCGGCCTGCTCAGGCTTCCGCGGCACCCCTCGCCGCGACCGCGGCGCGCCCGTTCCTCCGTCTCACCTCGGCTGAGCTACTCGAGCGTCGCCGCCAAGGGTTGTGCTTCAACTGCGACGAGCCCTACACGCCCGGCCACGCCTGCCCGCGACTCTTCTACCTGGAGGTTGTTGATTACATTCTGGAGGACGCCGTCACCGCCGACCTTGACGCCCCAGTTGTCGCGAAGGTGTTTGACACTGGTTGATCACCTCGAGGAGTTCAGCAAGCGCTTCCCCACCTTACAGCTCGAGGACGAGCTGTTTGTGCAGGCGGGGAGAAGTGTTATGACCGGCATAGGGGCTTAGCCCGGTGGGTTATGGCCCAAGTATCTTAATTAGGGGCTTAGCCCAATTATCTTATCGTATTAGGATCATTTGCTTAGGAGTCAAGTAAACCCCTCTATATAAGGAGAGGAGATGTACCAATCTAATCAAGCAAGAAGCAATCAATATTTGCTCGGCTTCCCTTAGGGAGCCGGGAGACCTAAACTCTAGCCGCCTCCTGCTTTCGCCGCCGCTGCTCCCGTCGCAAGGACGGCGCCACGTCGCCGGCCGGCGTGCACCAGCCCTCGCCCTTCCCCCTCCCTCCCGTACAAACTACGCCCTAGATCCGGTAGGGCCCTAGCTCCTACCAGGTAGTACTTGGCAATCTAGCTAGTTCTCAGGAAAGCAAGGACACTCAACCCAGAGATATTTTGAGCTTCATTTCCTCTTGTGCGTGAACATTGTTTCAGGACCTTGTTGGACGACTTATTGCTTCTCCATTGTCGTCCTCGACTTCAAGCAGAACCAAGCTCGCAGAACACTTCCTACACTAGTGCACCCACGATTAGATAAATAAATACTACTATTTCTCTCAATAAAAACTGCAAGATGAACAAATTTGTCGTCAGCTTCAAAACTTTGTGTTCCAGCAATGTAATCAAAGACCTTCCTCTTTTTTTTAGGAAACCAAAGATGCTTTCACACGGGAATCACGCAATGTCAACTGTTTCTTGAACCTTAAACGTTACTACAGTAGAAACACA